GGCCATCGAGGTTGTTCATCCTCCCTCCGTTAAGTACTCACTTCTGGGACCAGAAGTGCGTAGTCAGTGACCCTATAGCTTTGACACAGCGTCTTGCGAGCTCTTTTGGTTTTTAATGCGGTACCACGTGATCAGCCCAGAAACCCCACGCTCTAGGACGCTTCTGCTGATTGTCAGCGACTGCTTATTCGTCTCGCCTGCAAGACAGACGTGACTTATTCGAAGTTACATCCACAGGGAAGGCATTCCCAATCCGCAACCTAAAGACTCGCCCGATAGCGTACAGCTCCACCACTGAAGGATTACTGACACCACTGGGTCTGTAGCCTCTATACCCGCAGCTGATATATTTTTAACTATGCCGGAGGCAACCGCCATTTCGGTACTAATTGCGAGTATACGTTTCCACCTCTACGCAGACAAATTCCAGGGGTCCGACAGAGACTCGGGTTTGCAGTGGAAAAGCACTTAGGTTTTCTTGTTCGTAGTACCGTGTTATCTAGGAACTAAACGCTCCATTCATTCGAGTACTAGTGTTAAGCAAAACATTTTCACAGTTAGTCGTCAGGGTGGGTTTAAGTGGAATGTGTCACAATTTGTTTGCAGGGTCTTGATCTATGTTCATCGCCCTCTCCTTCCCACCGGACCGGTATGATACCTAACAAAGACAAACCCGACGCTCTTTCACGTGCTTGTCTGTTTGGGTCCAATCAGGAAATGTTCCGTCATATTCAGAATATGTTTAACCTCCATTGATCACCATACAAACATAGGTACCGCCTGGACGATTTCGCACCTTGTACTTTCTTCACAGAACATCGTGCCAAATGGTTATCGTCGTGATGGGAACAATCTGGTCTCCTTGAGATTCGATGTGTCATCCTGTTTGTGGAATCCAATATGGAGCGAGATCAACATGACTATCAGATCAGTAAGAATTCGTTATGCATTATGGCGTATCTCGTAACCAAATCACGCTCCTGTTTGAAGACAAATCGCGTGCAATTAGACCGTTCCGGTACCAACACATGATAACATTCGCTAAAACGAAGATGGTCGCAGAGTTTGACATCCGAATGTTTAAGATACAACAACACACGTCTTAGCTTCTAAGTTAGGTAGCACAGGAGTAGCTGCACATTTAGTTACCGCGGAGACTCAGAAGATAAACCATTGCCTCGCCCAACTGAAGTGTAGTGCATCCAGACTAAACACTAATGAAGTAATTATGTCTTCTTGGCGGTCTATACATCAATACTGCTTCTGTTAGCCATGAGAATATTGCTCGAATTCGCCATAGATGTTTTATGGGGCTCATAATACTTAGAGTTGATCAGTCACACAGGCTGATGTGGATCCGAGCTTCAGAGTCTTCAAGCGTAGGCCCAGAGCAAACATAGAAGCGGACCAAGGGGAGGACCACCATGTAGCAGTATATTCATGAGTTATACCTTTGCTATAAGGCAGGGTGTCCAATCATTTTGCAACGAGGGCCATATTTTGTGAGTTAAAAATGTGTCGGGCCAAATTCAGTCTGACATTAGGCTAATAGGTAAAAGTACAAATGTACACAAAAAATATAAGCCTGTATTTATTATCAGATGAGGAGGCCGCGGGTCAGTTGAAATAGCGAAGGCCGCATTCGGCCCGCGGGTCGGAATTCGGACATCTCTGTTATCATCTGATGCGGTGTTAAGTGATTGGGAAGAACAAGCATGATACCTGTCATCTGGTTTGAGTTGTGAGATCAGTACAGTACAGCTGGGTAATTATGATCGGAGCACCGAAGGGCGGTGGCTCCAGTTGCCACGACTTACCGTAAGAATAACAATGAGTAACACCGGTAGGATAGTGGCGTTGGGTACAAAGAGAACATAGAGAAAATAAAAGCAAGAAGGAAATGCGTTAGACTAATCAGAATGGAACGCAAATTAACAACCAGAGGATAGAAGCCGTTTGCAGGGAAGGCACTGACTTCGTGACTACGCCATGTCTGACGGTCCCCAGTCATTAGTGTGGACCCTCCCGAGGTCTCCATTCACAAAGACGGCAAGCACTATTGTGATCAAGTCTCCCAGTCAATTTCTTCACGCCTCTATGCCACCTCATGGACTGGCCAGCTCGAGGTTTCGCCCACCTTAGTGCGCCCACGGCGTATAATGCACGCTGAGGAAGCCGATTAACGGGCATACGGAGGAGAGCCTAACCCATGCAAGGGACTAAAAGTTAGCTACCACTCGAGAGAGTCACCAGAAGGCTTCTTGACAAAAACCAACTGGTAGACCTCAACGGTGCTCACCCAATGTTCCCACCAAACTTGAGCAATACTTCGCAAGCACCGGTGGTCAAACACGCCCAAGCGTTTAAGATCTTCTCTGCGAATTGGCCAGGTCTGATCCATACAGCAACACTGCCCTTATCGCAGCAGTATGCACCCGACCTCTCACTGGCAGCCTGATATCCCGTCGCCTTCATAAATGTTTGCTCCCTTCGAATGCCCCACGAGCCTTGCTGATGCGCGAGGTAATTTCCTCAGTGGTGTGACTAACAGAAGTGACACATCGTCATCATCAAGAGTTCAGATGGATTGCACGCAAGGAATCTACTGAAAAGTTAAAGTTATAAGGCAGACACACGAGAAATTGTGCGAAGATTAGTTTGTTCAGGGATACTAACGTTCGCTGGCGTTCTAAGGGTGATTTTTTGGGATGTCTATTACGTGTAGTTTTGGTACCACAGCATAAAAGAAGGCGCATAATTTTAGCTGTGCCATAGGCAATGTTTCATATTTGTGGTGGGTAGTAACAGCTGACCCGACGTTTTACCTTGAAACTAACCATGTTGACCCCGAAACAACTGTTTAGCACCATAGTAACACCACGCTTCGTTTCGTTCCGTCTTTGTGATCAAGGTAACCGAGACTCAGTTCACCCGGCTCATTGTCCCAGATCAGTCTCTGCGTAGCAATCCACAAAAATCAACGGAACTAAGCACTCAGAAATCATTATGAGACAGTCAAATTTCAGTCAACGGGTACAGGCGTTTCGCGCGGAGCTGTGTTAACCAACCAACCAATATTTTCAGTTGTCATCTTAAAGGACACCAGTGTTAACCCCAACCGGATTATCTGTGGTCGAACTGATAAACTACCAGCTAATTGACTCAAGAGACCAGGTAACCCAAAGATTCGTGCTGGCTTCGTTTCGTCTAAAGAAGTTCATCCTATGAATTTTTATAATTTTAAAGTCACATGATTTCTAATGAATTCTTCTTTCGTTAAGCAGTGAAATTAGTGAACCTTGATGTCTTTCTTACGTTGGGGTTTAACGACTGACAGATTCTTCCTGTCTAGACCAACAGTTCTACACAGTTGTCAGGTCCGAGTTAGCTCAAAATGAGAGGGTGTTGGTTGGTTTACCGCGTATTGGGACGACCTCCAACGACGTGAAAGTTAGTAGACTGGAAATATGAACAGTCATGAGTGAGTCAACATCTTGTAAAATACTTGGAACTGATCGAGAACTCATGATTTCAGGAAAGTTTAAAACATCCGGTTGGTTTAGTTTGTGAGTTCATTATAATTCCAGGTACTCGCAGCCATATAACTGCGCTCAAAAACATTAACATACGTTGGCTTTGCTTAAACTTTGACTTTTGATACAGACGGAAAAAGCATGAGAGAAGGCAGGCAAATCAGCACTTCGGCCTCACCCGTAATGCGTCCGGAAAGTTTGACGCCCCAACCTTTGCGCAAATGTTTGGAGCGTACGTGAGGACGCACGTGAAACAGTCTACTAAAACGTGGCAGCACTGGCATAAGCAAGATCCCACCGTGCTCGAGACTGCAAAACGCTGGACGATAAAATACGTTAACGCTTGTCCCAACCCCTACCAACTTAGACTACAAGCCCTAGGACTGTACAGTGGAAGTCATCGGCGTCTACGGACAGATCTCATAATGTTATTTCAGATCCTACTAAAACTCAACCACACCTGACACCATCTCTTGAAACTTAGCCAAAGCACATATCTGAGGGGCCGTCTGTTTAAGCTGACCACGAAATAAATTCGGTTAGAATGCCGACGAAACCTGTTCTCCCTCCGATTGTCACAGGTTTGGATTTTATTCCTGGTGCACGAAATTATTGCCCTCCTGACCACAGCACTATTCAAAAGACGACTGAACAACACACTGGCACATTTACAGCACTTGGTAGAACCCATAATCATCAACTGATAACAGTAGTGTAGAAAAACAGTGGCTTTTAGCTGACTCCCCTTAAAGTCCAGGGAGTAATACTTACCTCTGCGCTAGTGTAGACCTGTTGGTGGTCCATGTTTCTTGCGCCTTATTTTATCGACGCTGCCTTTAGATCTAGTAATTCTCAACCCAACCATCCTACGGAGGCTGTCAATTATTTGACTGTTTTCCCCTTTAAACCTTCTCTCCATTGTCGTTCACCCCGAACTGGTTATGCAAATGTCTGAGCTTCCTTGTGAGTGACACTGATAAAAAATTGTGTTATCGTTATATTTTTAATGAAAAGCAACTTCAGTCAGACCTGTCTAAGGCGACCACGCAAGGGACCGACAAAAATGGTCACCATAAACACGTTCATGCATAGCGACGTTACTCATAAAAAAGTTGGGGACGTTTTTGGCTGGTAGCCATAGCAGGTTGCACCACAGTTAAATATGTGATCGTTGTACGAGCCTTATTTCAGATGCCCGTCAGGTAGGACTAACAAAGTGCATCTTTTGCAAACCAAAGCAATATTGCTAGGACGACTTGGTTTGTACATGTAAAAAGCGACATTTGTGGAGAGGTCCCAGAAACGACGACAGTATACATGATGTTGGTTGATTTGTGAAATCGCTACTGTGTTTAAACAGAACAAAAACATCACCCAGGCATCGGCTAAATGCTGAGGCTGGTTTGGACTTGATATAGTCGGCATTACTAGTTATCGCAGCAGATTAATGCGTTCACATTCACTCACCTGCATGACACTGATATAAATGTATTGTTGAGGGTTGCCTTGATACTTGAAGTCCAACATGGCTAGAAAGGGGTCTGAGTTGTCGTGAAAACGAAACAATGACTACGACAACGATAATCCCCAGTGTAACCAATGCCAGGGTTACCAACACTCGGACGACTGGCGTCAGGCTGTGTGATGCGACGTTTGTGGGATAGGTTTGCTGTCTCACTGATGTTAGGGTGCATTCAGATATGGTTTTATTAACCGCCACATAAATTCGTAACATATGCTGACTAGTCGAATCCAAAAGCATTTCGACGTGTATTACATCTCGCAGCTTGATCTTACTTCCGCTGTCTTCGGCAATTACCCGGAATAAGTATTCTACTCGAACAGCCTGTTGGATCATTGTGTGATGCACCTTTAGACAACCGCTGTGCTTGTCGATGTTGAGCGTGTTGTCGAGTTGAGGTGTATGTCGGTCTGCGTCGCAGGGTGGAGCCAGGCGATAAGTGACGAGCGCGTTTTCTCCCACATCATCGTCAGTCGCTTCAAACTGAACGATTGACTGGAATAAATTGGCTGAGTTTTGCAACTCTTTTGTGTAATGCCCCATGGAAATGACACAAACAAGCTTTACGGACTGCATTCTATTGTACCACACTGTTGTACATTTAGAGACTGAGGTGCCATTCTCAAATTCCTCTGTAGGTTCATCGAAGCAGGGTTTGGGAGGGAGAACGAATGTTGGATGATTGTCGTTCACGTCAGCAATGTACACATCAATGGAATGAACCCTTGTCTTACGTGGTCTCCCATGATCATGGGCGATCACAATTAGCACAAAATGTTCTCCATCCACCTCACGATCGATCATACCCGTGGATGTAATAACTCCTGTCTGCTGGTTTAGGAGAAAAGTGTTTGACTCCTTCGAGTAGGAACCGTTATGATCCACACGTAAGCTTTGATCTAGCCAGTAAGCGACTTGTCCCGCTTCACTTCGATCGGGGTCGGTGATTGTCAACTTGCACAATGGTACTCCCGGTGGCAGGTTTTCAAATATTTTGACGATATGTCCATGTCCGTACGTGGTATTCAAATGGAAAAGTTCCAGCGGCTTCAATTCCAACCTCGGCGAATGTTGATTCACCACCGTGATATAAATGGACAACAACAAGACGGTTGACAGTTTGGGATTTCCTTCGTCCTCGGCGATAACTTCAAAATTAAACCATTTGTTTGGAGTTATTGCTCGTAACGACCGATCCAAAGATACTGCACCGTTTCGGTGGTCAATTATCAGGAAACTTTCTTGTGACGCCATAACATTGGGGTTGTGCCTTCCAACCAGTCTAAAACTTACTGCGCCACAGCTGTTGACATCAGCGTCATGAGCAACAAAACGTATGAACGTGTGGTTTAGGTCCATTGTCTCCGGTACTGACACTTCGATAGGCCCATCGAATGAGAGTGGGTGCTCTTTATCAGTAGCGAATGCCACTGAACTGAGGGCCTTAGAATACGATTCCTTCTTATTTAACCATTGAGCTGGTTTGATCACAACTGGCAAACCAAACACAGGTGCATTGTCATTTTCGTCCTGTACCGCAAAAAACAGTACTAGCGAAGAAGATCTTGAAACAGGTGCTCCGGAATCTATGCAGACGATCTCCACCGTAAAGAGTGGCTGTGTCTCTCTGTCAATGGATTTAAGTAAAAAAATAGAGTAAAAGCGACCGTTAGGATTTGTCGAGGTTTCTGTGTATTTCCAAGGTGAGTGAAAGATGCCAACTTCGGATCGATCTGAAAGTACAGAGGACCTATTGACGAGCATGAAATAATCCGAACCATATAGAGTGCACGATACTTTACCATTTTCCCCTGCGTCAATGTCATAGACTTCTAAAACGGCCACCAGGGAATGAACTTCACTCCACTCGCTCAAACGTATGGTCACTTCTTTCTCTTGTTCCAGGGGAGAGCTCGCTGGATGTTGCGTTTTTGTCATAGTTTGCGGGATATTAATCTCATTTTCGTTGCTCGACAAAGTCCAGACCCGAATGACGGGGCTGTTATCGTTTTCATCCTCTAAATATATTAATACCATACAGATGGAGGATCTCACGGGGTGCCCATTGTCCCTTGCAATTACCCGGAAGTACACAGCCTTGTTTTCTTCTCGATCTAATAAGAAGTCAACCTTGAAAACACCGGTGTCCGACTCCAGTCGGAACCTGTGATGCATCTCGGGAGAATCTGAGCTTGTCTGAGGGAGGTCCATTATGTGATATGTCACTTTGCCATTGTCTCCCTGATCCGCATCGTTAGCATAAACAGATCCAACCGTTGATCCAGGTGTGGCACCTTCGGACACTGAAAACGTATACCGAGAGTTCTTAAACTGTGGGCTGTTGTCATTTACATCCATGACTTTAACTTGCAACAGCAACAATCCATCGTGTGACTTCGGTGAGGCCTGATCAGTGGCCGTGATGTGAATGAAAAATGTGTCAAATGACTCAGCATCCAGCTCGTAGTTTAACAAAAGGAACAAATCGGTTGTGCCAGCCACATGATGGAGGGAGAATGTATACTGTGGTCCCTTTTTACAGTCCCGTTGTGACGGTGTGCATAACTGCGCTGTCGCTTTGGCCCCTGTAGAACTTGACGCATTGAGAAAAATCATTTTATATACCAAATTCATTGTCTCGCCAAGGTCTTCATCAGTTGCGGAAGGTAGCCGAAAGCTTGTGCCGGGATTTTCCGATTCAAGAATTGTCAGGCTGTAGTTCGATGGGCAGAATTTTGGGAAATTATCATTCACATCCATAATTCTTAATTCTATAGAAAAATATAGGCCATCCGCAATTGACTGGCTACCTGAAATCTGATTGCTCACAGCACTATGGGGTTCAATCACTGCAAAGTGCAGGAATATAGAACACCACGCCAGACCTGGTCGGCATTCACACGTATTGTCTGATAAGAGTGGTATCTTTCCTGATTGGTACAGCACACTTTTGGTATTACAGATCATTTCCAAGTCCAACTTCTTTGTGAGTACCAATAATTGATGGTCATTGACAGGTCGGTGGGAGATTTTCCTTTCCCTTGTGACCTGCATGTCTCTTAGTTCAAAGTAACCCGAAAATGGCTGCGCCGATGGAAATAGAATAAATCGGCCATCGACCATTTTGGTTGTCGTAAGCACGGGCTCCAGATCACCGCGTATGTCTTGTGTGATGTCGGCAACTTGAATTGGGACATGGGTTTCCTCTCGGAGTTCGTATGTGGCCAAAATCTTGTCAGATGGTATAACACAATCAGACTGGATCAAGTGCAGCAAATTCACCTCTACTAATGCCAAGAGGACAGTGTTAATATGAAAAGTCCGTCGTCGAATTGAACGAAAGAAATCTGACTTGCATGACCGCATGTTGATAGGTGCATCCACTAAAGTTGTCTGCAGTATTTTTAGGGGGCCATTTGAGAGATGTTGATCAGCGTAGTATAACATCAAAAGCAAAAGCCGGTTTCTCAAAATCCAGTTCACACACGTCGAATTTTGCAACGACTGTGTGGGGATAGATGGTTGCATTGCGTGGCTTCATGACGGCACGTGATTGGTCAACTGGGTAATTGCGAGTTGATTGGAGCAAAAAGCATGCATTTGTCAGCCCATATTCATACGACGAAATAAACATGCTAGAATGTGCATTATTCTGAGTTGAGAAACGAATCTGAAAATAGCTCCACGAACTTTTTCGTAAGAGGTTATGCGAATATATGGGGCCGGCAATTCAGGCAGCTTGTGTGCTCTGATACTTCCCGGGCTGTACACTTTGGGACGCACCAAGTTTCTATAGTTGAAGTCTGCAAGAACTAAGTTCTAAACAGCAATAGGCTTGAAATCCAATTGCAGATGGGTAGCTGTAAAGCGTGAAGTGATCAAGTTGTAGTAACTACCTTACGGACAGGACAGTGCATATTTGCTTTTGCATGCGTTCTGCCAATGGGGGGGGGAAATGTCCTCAAATTTGCACGCAACGCATTATCACATGCCCCTTCATCTTCTGGTGTCCCCACTAGAGGAGTTAAAGTCACATGAACTTTGGCACTATGCTCCTGTAGATAGTGGCATGGGAATTTGTGCAAGTTTAAGTGATTGGCTGACTGTGCAGAAGCCTTTGAGATGCCTTGGGCGTTGCGGGCGGTTAATCGGTTACACTTACAAGGCAACAGGAAGCAAAATCCCCCAGTAAAGACTACTGTTTTCCACACTGCTGAGTTAGAACAACGCTTAGCTAGCATTGTTGACTTTTTCAACCGCAACTTGATGGAAAGTGACGCAGGCAAGGTTATGCACTGGACCACGCATACTCAATCTTTCTAATGCCGTGGCCCCCTATTAAACCTTTCCATTCCACGTGGGCTTCCACCCGTCACGACTACAATTTCAGCAATCCGCAAAACCTAACAAACGTAAATCTGTGATCTCCAGCCTTCATATTGGTATCTTTTGCAATGACGGCTGCATTTGTACTGTTGGTATCAGTGCTGTATCCTTATAAATCACCTTTTTTTAATTTGCACAGCTTCAAGATAAGCTTTATTGTGTAGCAACATCAAGCAACGTGGTTGTAATTATACCAAAGTCATCAGTAGTACTTCATAGTATATTTAATTATTGTTATTTAAGTGTAAGGCATATAGTGTGTAAGTAGGTGTAGTAACTTCGTAAAAATATGTTTGTCGAGATAATAATGAGAGCCTTCAGCCCGGTGTCCTTGAGCAGGGTTGCTTAAGTTCGGCTCCAGACTTGACAGCGAAACTCGAAGATCTCCTCTTGCTGTGATGTTCAACCTGTTTCCAGGTTTGGTCAGAGGAACAAGTCTGCTGAATTCACATTCAACTAAGAATTTGTTTGGAAAAGCAAGGAAATAAATTTTCTGCCATTTCCCGCAGTCTGTGATAACTGTTAGTAGCAACAGTCTTTATCCAGAAACTTCGTTTATGTTGCCTGCAGTTGGATCTTGCAGGTGTGTCACTTTGAAGCTCTATGAAACTGCTGGATTTTAACTCCAAAATTGTGGGGCTGTAAGTCAAGGGGGAGCTAAGATCCAAATCTTCATTTCCATGCGAATCAGGTCATGAAACCTGTGCTTCATTTCTTTTCAGTTGTAAATAATTGGCATAAGCAAGGAAGTCTTCATTCTTCAGCTCCTTTGCGACTGTAGAGAGAATTGGGAACTGTGGAAATTCCCCATGTCCAATGTTTTGCGCATGCACTTCCAGCTCTGTAGGAATAACGATAATGTCTTCTTTGCTCGAGCTGGTTACTCAAACTGCCTTGAAGGGTTTTATTTACTAAGTTGAGTCTTTCAGAAACATCGTTCAATAAAATACGTCTGGCCTAGCTGTTAATAATTTTCGTTCATAACCAGTACCAGAAAGGAATCTGATGATGGTGTCCCAGAACGTAACAAAACGGCAAGCGCTGTTGCGCTTGGGGAACTATCTAACTTCTGTATGAGACAGCAGAACCTTGAAATTTTCATTGTTCTCTCCACACAACCGCTGGAAATGACCACCTTGAAGAGGGTGCGATTCCATATTGTTGACTACTATAATAACAGTTGAAAATGAATCGTTTAAGCGTCCTCCCAAGTTCTAAGCCGCTATGTGTTCGCGAGGAATCACACAGTGCATTATATGAATAGAAGGGAGAATGTTTTTTACATGGGCAACAAATCCTTTATATTTTCTGACCGTTGCGGCAACACTAACTTTTGCACATACAACTTTGCTCTTCATCAAGATGGGGTTTGCAGTCAGATAGCTCTTAACCACATCAAATATGGAGTGGCCCCTTGTATGGGATTTAGTTCTCTTGACAGGCAACACCACTTCCACTAACTCATTATCATTGAAGCATCGGACATGCCACTTGACCAGCGCTGTTGTCAGGTAAAGTAGATTCATCTAATTGTTAATTGTGGATGTTTGTGAGTGGTGTAAAGTTCGTCGAAGTAGAAGCCACGATTAAAATTCACACACAAATATGTGCCTAGACGGGGAATCGAACCTCGGTCCAACGAACTTCCGGTCCGCTGCTCTACCATTAAGCTGCCGAGGGCTGACGATTAGGTGCGCAATTTTTAATACATGACTTCTGCTTGGTGCACGACGTATTGCCAACGAGCTCACAGAATCTGTCATGGTGTTGCAGATTGGCTCACTCACCTGTCACTTCCCAATGGACCGAAGTATCTGTATTTTAGATGTCCAAAGGGCGATGGTAGATTAATTATGGATGTTTGAGTGGTGTAAAGTTCGTAGAAAGTAGAAGTCATCTAATTGTACCGAGAATTTTCTGGTCTGTAGTAAGGCGACTAAGGCAGTTTCCATATCCTTAGCCATCTTTTCAATTCACCTGTATACAGTTCAGTTGCTGAATGGTATGCTTTGAACTGCTTCTTGTTGATTAAAATTCATCAGGTCCGAGAGTATTATCAATACTGAAGGCAAGATAATATGTTTTCCAAGGTTACATGGACTGCAATTTTTGACAATCTCCTTTCTGATTTGATAAAACGCCGTGTATTCAATCGTCATCCTTTTTGCCTTGTCAGAAACCGTTGTTTTTAGAGTTGGCCTATTTTCGAAACTATGTCGCAGTAATCCGAAAAAATCTACAAACCGCTTTCGTCCTGATGAACGCGTTCCAAATGATGTTTCAGTTTATTTGGTCGCATACTTTCACTTGAAAGTGTTCTGGCAAATTAAACACATTGGTGGAGTGGGGTTTTGAGGTGATACAAGTAATCTAAATCACAGTTATTCCATGTAGTATTGCCGACACTACGTTTTTGTCGTGAAGCTTCTTTCTTAAATGTCATTAGAAATTGTTCATATGTACTGAATATTATTGTTGCTTTACGTGTATTACAGGTAGCTCATGGATATTAAAAAACATCATGTGACAAGGTGAAGCACGCAAGTATTACGAATGATTATTGGCACTAAATTTAGTTTTGCTTGACCGCGAGAGCATAACGTACGACAAGTGATAAGTATACTTGGGACATCTCTTGATGCTATAATGTTAAAATGTAAAAGTGTAAAAACACAGTTAGAGGTAATCCAAAGGTAGTTACGGAGAATGACTGAAAATACCCTGGATATCTAAAATAACTGAGGAAAACTTATTGACAAAGCCCTATGAAGCAAACCAATGGCACGGAAAATGACAGCGCTCACTGGACACACATGCGTTAAAGGAAAGTGGTTGCAAAGAGTGACAAAAGGTAAAATGGAGGACAGAAGAGACAAACACGGTAGAAAAATGCCGGATATTTCGAGGAATTTGCATGGGATAATCAACAACGAAACGTACAATGTACATCGGATATTGCGAAACATGTCGCTCAGTGCGTGTTGGCAAGGTATTCGATTATTAGGAATATCAAGAAAATATACCTTTATACACATTAGGTTATATATACGCACCAATAATGTATGATGTAAGCTGCCAAAACTGCTCGCTGTTTTTCGGAATTCAGCGCAACTGAATGTTAAGAAAGCATTATAACGTGTACTAGTTGTTTCGACTCAGTCGGAACGGCGGAACGTTCTTCAAAAATAGCAACCTACGAGTGTAGATTAGCCACTAACATTCGGAACGTTACGGACTAATGTGACCTAGTCGCCAATGGAATAATGGTTTATTACGGGTAAAAAAGCATCGCTTAACAAGTCCCGTGGGATGGAAATTATTGCAAAAATCAATTGCATGATAAAATGAAAAGCGTTGTGGTGGACTCTCCATAGACTTATGTGGAATAGCGCAGATGTTCGCGTATTAAACGTATAAATTCATACATCCATTAGTTAGGCGTTTGGCAAGAAACCGTTTGATTGCGTTTTGTAGTCATAAAATGAAATGTAAGTGAGACAATGCATCGTCAACACGTTTGTTAAATATCGCCAGATTGGGAGCAGAGACGACATAATTGGGGAGGGCGTTCCAAGGCTGGCACACGCGGAGAGAAAAGCAATTTCTACGGCATTCAAGTCGGCTATACTGAATTGTCAGTTTCAGTGGGTGACCTCGTAGTTTAGTGTTGTGGTTCCATTCCAGCAGCGGACGGCAAATGTGGTTTGGGTTCTTCAGAATCTGGTAAACCATTATGAGATCCCCTTGCAAAAGCCGATATTGACTGCTGTATATTCTTAGAGATTTCAGTCTAAGCTGATAGGGTAGATGAAAGAGCCCCCTGACGTTCTTGGTTGCCTGTCATTGAGGAGTCTCGAGATCAACGAGATCCTGTTTCTGCCACGGCTGCCACGCCTGAATAGCATATTCCACGTGAGGTCGCACGCAGGCGTTAAGCATTTGGGAAAATATTGAGGGTTCAAACCGACCGAAGGCTCTGCGAAGAAGGCCGAAGTGTCGATTTCCGGTTCTCGTCGCCTTCTCTGCTTGTTTTGAACACCCGAGATCTTCCTGTACCAATA